TAATCTACATCATGACTAATGGCTACTATATTATCTGTATGTGCAAAATGTATGCATAAATGTGGTACAGACGTGTAAATGTATATGATAATTATCTCATAGTAATTGCGCTATTAGGAACAATAATGTAGTTGTCAAATTACTCGCATAATTACAGTGATTGTCACTTAAAATCGCACACCTAGGAATTCGGCCGATTTTCAGTTACGAAACGCGATCATTGTAGGAAATGACTAAAACGCATATATAGACTTTACCTAATATATAGCAACAGTAGAACAAAACTTCCAATAATTATTAGTAAATAAAATAAAATGTGTCGGCACGTATAGAACCAGCCTGTCAGTAAAAATCATACAATACATATATTTTCAATAATAGTTAATATACAGGGTGTCCGAAAAGTATGATACTTCCGGGAAATGAGGGGTTCCTGAGGCCATTTAAAGTAACTTTTTCTTTAGCAAAAATAGAATTCGCGGTTTTGTTTACAAGTTATTAACGAAAAACACTGACCAATAAGAAGGCGAGCTTGGCTGGCGCAAGATGGACGAAGCTCGGTTCCGCTCATTGGCTCGGCCGAAGTTCACTTCTAAAGAGTACAAGAAGTATTAATTATAAACAAATAGCGTCACAGTGTCCCTTCGCTCGACCGCGGCACCGTCGAAGACTCGAAATCAAAACAGGCACTCCGCGTGCTAACACATACACACACGACCATACATCGTCGATCTCCAACAATTTCTGATATCCAAAATTGTCAGCATTACCCAATGATTTTACGAAATATTCATTTGACTGTGCGAGAAGCACGGGAGACAAGAAGTATTGAACGGCGCAGTAAAAAGCGAATGAAACGACGAAAGTATAACGTCTACCATTTCTCGAAGTACCTAACTTCCTCGATAACGTTAGCGGCACGGTCTCGAATACGCGAACAATTAAGCGAGCGCTATCGTTCCAGTCTGAGAGACGGAATCGGCGAGACGCGTCGACGATAGTCGAAGGCGCGCCGCTGCTAATGAAGGAGAACTGCGGGGCGAAAATAGCGCAACAAGTGCAGTTGCAGTGACGACGGCTACACAGCTGCAGCAGCGAGTATTATATTAGAAATCCTGCAGCGTTATCCCGCCGAGTTTATTCCTCTGCAGCACTATTTCCCCGGCGCGCGACACCGTCGCAGTCAGTATCTAGAGCGTGCGTTTTCGTGCTTACCTCTATTGTTTATCTCGAGGATTTTCTTATTCCTTATCTTCGACGTCGCGTCGCATCTTCTCGTAAATCGGCGTGTTACCGAAATTCCTTTCCTCAACTGCGCGCCGTTTCCTCGGATTAGCGAACCGAATGATTACGACCACCATTTTGTCGCGCGACTCTTTTTGTGACAGTTCTCTCTCTCTCTCTCTCTCTCTCTCTCTCTCTCTCTCGCTATATTGCTCGTTGGGGAAACATTGTGCAGAACATTTTTTTGTCAATTATTGCGAATGGGAATTTTCGACAATGGGACTTCGACGAATGGGAATATTGTGAATCTGACATATGTGAAAAAACAAAAATATTATTTGACAATAAGTAGAAGAGAAAAATATTTATCGGTATTTGTGATAAGATCGAAATAATATTTAAAAATAAATATTGAATTTATCTTTATTATAGTAGCGTATTATACGAAACACCATAATGTGACACCGATTTATAAGACTATTTCGATGAATTTCAACACGAGACGGTGCTTTGTTAATTATCATTGTGATATTCCAACAGCGTGTAAAAGAGATTTTTAGGGGAGTTGTGCGATATTTAAATGAAAAGTATGCATTTTTGCAGCAATTTCCAACGGTTTTCGACGCATTTATCAACTAAAATTGTGATTCTTCTGTGAGAGGTAACATTTTTCCAATCGGTGGGCATTCTACAAAATGTTATTTTGAGTGTATAGTACTCTTTCTGCTTTCAATTTGCAGTGACTATTTTTTCATACCATAATGAACAATCTCAGAATGAAAATACTTTAACCTCCGCATTGCTCAGTGCGCGAAAATCGAAAACAAGGAACATAGAATCCGTAATGTACTTAAACAATTGTAAAAACTGAATGGTACTTTTGATGATATACTATAATGTATAATAGCATTAGTATATCTAAATGCTATACACACACAAATAAAGCAACAGGCACACGCGCCTGATGTGCTCCAAGCCGAACAAGGCGGCTACGGGAGTCGGGAGGCGTAGCCCTCGAGATCGTCACGTTGCGTGCCGATAATTCTGTGCCCTAGGCTAGTTCACGAAACTCCTATTCAACATAGCGGAGCCCCGACAATGAAATAGTCCGACTAGTCCCCGCATTTCCTTACCAAAACAACAAATTCAGATCAAACCAGCGACCACGTGAAACCGCTCGGCCCGCGGCTCGTAAAAATATCTAACGAATAGATCATATTACATTTATGTTTCGATAATCAATAGAATCTTTCAGCATTAATACCTCGACTGCCGCGTCACCCGTATTCGGATGACAGCAAAAGTTCTCATCAGGCCACGTCACCCGTAATTCGGGTGATGCTGATTTGACTACTTACAAAGGATTTCCGAAAATATTTCGACAAATATTCTACAGGAGGTAATGAGACTATTGAATTCCTATAAAAATGGTTTATTAAAAAATTTATTCGCAGTGTATAACATTAAAAGATTCTCTGCAAAGTTGAGGTTGATCAGGACAGCTTGGACAAAAAGTTGTTTGTTTTTTCAGATATGCTCGTGCCTCTGATCGGTCCATTTCGTATTTTTTATTTGAACTGTAGCTTCCTCGGTATCATCAACATTTCTTTCTTCTTCCATGACCAATTCTCGTAAAATCTCGTCAATAGTATCTTCATAACATTCATTATCACTAAGATTATATTTATCAGTATCCAAATCAGAATCTGACGATGTAATTTTATTTATGCTTCTCCTTCCGGGCAATCCAATCTCTTTCCATTATTGAAAAAAAATAAGGGCAGAGATTTTAAGTTATACCATTCGGTACTCGGCAAAGATTCCAACTGTTCATGC